GAGCCGAGCCGAGCCGGGCCAGAGTCAATACAGAAACAAATACAGCTGATTTAGGACGACCATGTGGGGGGGAACCAGCAAGTATATCAACATGTGTCAAAGCAGCGCTGCTATAACACTGTGTTTGTTCACGGCTGTTGTTATTTTGCTCAATACAAAAATAAATACATTTCATTTGATTTTTCATTCACTGTCTGTCGTTACAAATTATGGAAAGATTAGACATTTATTCCAATGTGGTTTTACTGTGGTCCGTGTACTTTTGCGTTCAATATTTTCTATTTTTGGAGGGAAAAAATCGAAAAAAGGCAGTTTTGCATTTTCAGGCACAGCAATAAACAAAAATGACCATTTTGGTTTTTTTCATCTTCAATCTTCAAAATGTATGAAATCATCAAATTAAAGACAGCGGCTTTATGACAAACAGGAATCACAAACAGATGTTGAAAAGAAACAAAACATGGAAAGCAAAATGTACTCATAAAAACACACACAAACTTTGGAGTTAGCTGTTAGCATTGACTGGATATTCAAAGAACCTGGACATGGATCAATAAAAAACGGGATGCGCTAGCTAGTTAGCAACAGTTAGCATGCTAATATGCAAAAACGATCGAATTAGCATAGATATTAGCTTAATAAACAAAAAGATTGACATAAAGCAGGTTCTAACAACATAAAGGCACAGCATAATCTCCCTTAAACCAGGGTAGAAGATATTTATTTCATATTTTGCACTGAAAGAGATGCTACTTCTGATCTATGCTAACAAAGATGGCTGCTGCAGTAACAACAATAACAGATGTAGTTCCATATAAGTCCAGTAGAGGGCGACAAACAGCACACACCCTCATGAATGTTTTACGCACAGGCCTCAGGTGCATTCTCCACATCCTTCTGTTGTAGTAAACTATATTTATTAAGGATAAAAAAGACTACAGTATAGAGAAAAGTTACCCATTAAAATGTCTTGGAGCCGATGTTAGAGTTAAAGAGAGACACGGGTCACTTCTGTGGTAGAGACTGTGCTTGTTTCCACCTGGTTATTTACCGTACGTCACTGAGTCGCACTGGGACCACTCTTCAGGCCGACAGATTCTAACAAGGTCAGTTCAAAAGTGACGTTGACAGATTCGAGCGGTGACCGATGGGACTTGGGTTTGAGAGAGTTCCCTGTGTGAGTAGCTGGAGGCTACTCTAAACAGATGTTCTCTGGTCCTTGCCTTAATCTAACTTCCTGTGTATAATTAGCTGGGGGTTTGACTCCGCACATTCTTCACCCTGCCTGGATCAATACTACTAGTCTAACGTTACATTTATTAATATGATAATAACACAATAACATACTCCATTGACACCACAGCACTTAGAATTATTTTCACATTTGCTTGGAGCACCAGGCCTGTGATGGCTCTATTTCAAGCCGTACTTCAGGGCTTTTTTCGGGGTTAAAACCTCCGAGGACCCCCCCTGGGTCTCAGGCTTTCCAGTGCTGCATTTATGTCCGGATTTCTAAGCTTTTTTCGGGGATAGAACCTCCACAGAATCCCCTCGGTTCTGGGACCCGCATGGCCCTATTTTAAGCCGGATTTAAGGGCTTTTTTCGGGGTTAAAACCTCAGAGGACCCCCCTGGGTCTCAGGCTTTCCAGTGCTGCATTTATGTCCGGATTTCTGTCCGGATTTCTAAGCTTTTTTCGGGGATAGAACCTCCACAGAATCCCCTCGGTTCTGGGACCCGCATGGCCCTATTTTAAGCCGGATTTAAGGGCTTTTTTCGGGGTTAAAACCTCCAGGGACTCCCCTTGGTTCTGGGACCTGTCATTTCTCTTTTTCAAGACAAATTTCATGCGCTCTCTCCCGGGGAGAAATGCGCCCACCCTTATTCTTTGAGAATATGTGTGCACTTGTTTTCAACTCCTGGTGGGTTCCATAACCTGAGATTCCACTCACGTCATGGGGACTGGTTTTACGTGGTGGGGCCCGAACACCGGACCCCACTGGTCCAAGCTTAATAATCAATGGGTAATGCTTTTCTAACGGTCCTTATGCAGTCTCTGTAAAAATATGGAAAGGACCCCTGGAGGTTTACTTTCCTGAAAAAAGTGTGTTATGTGTCGGAACCCTGGTGGTGGGTTGCGGGATATCAAGGAGGGGCACACTGGGGCAATTTCAGTCCAGCAGGCTGGAGCCAATCATGGAGCAGCACAACAGAGGAAATCAGGTGTCAGGCTAGAAAAAGGTGCAAGTGTGTGGTTCATTAGGCTGCAAGAAATCATGGAGGAGCACACTGAAGCGCACGCTTACAAACCACTGGTAAGTGCTGACTACAAGTCATGACTTCAAATTGTTATATAGAATGATTACAAATTATTTGTTGTTTGTGCAGCTTAGTCAAGAGTCCCTAATTGATGAAGTCGACTCAGATTCTGACGATTTAACTGTCAAGAAGAAACCTGTAAAAAAGTATGGAAAAAGAAAAATCAAAAACACTTTTCTTCAAGACTCGGAAAGTGACGAACCAAAGGCAAATAAGATTGTTATCATGCAGCTGCAAAAGAAGAAAAATGGGGGGCGAGTATACAGCAAGAGACACTTCTGCCTCTACTGTTCAATGTCCTGCCACAAAATGTCCCGTCATTTGACTAGAAAACATGGAAATGAAAGTGACGTAGCCAGAGCATTGGCTCTACCTGTGAAATCTAAAGCACGTAAACTTCAGTTTGATTTGATCAGGAATAGTGGAAACCGTGAGCACAATTTTGAGGTTTTAAAGGCCGGCATTGGAACTTTAGTCCCAGCTAAACAGCCAAATTGCCCAGTTAAATCCAGTGAGTTTTTGCACTGTATAGACTGTGGGGCATTGCTTAAGCGAAAGTCGCTGTGGAGGCATGTGGCCAGGTGCTGGCTTTCACAGAAAGATGCCCAGGCTAAACCAGGTAGAAGTAGGGTCCAGTCCCTCTGCTCCCTAGCCCAGCCTGTACCGGAGGGCATCAGCAAAAAGCTGTGGTCTTTAATTTGGGCAATGCATCAGGATGAGGTCACGGGTGTTGTCAAAGCAGAAAAGGGGATTCTGAGACTCGGAGAGCACCTGTACTTAAAACACGGGCATGATAAGACAAAGCATGATTACATTAGGCAGAAAATGAGAGAAGTCGGTAGGTTAATTAACGAAGCAAAAACCGCAGGGAAACTGAAAACAATTAAGGATTTCTTTATTCCTTCCAACTTTAACCATGTGATTGATGCAGTCAGGTCTGTGGCTGGATATGATGAGGAAACAAATCAATACAAGACTCCATCCTTGGCCCTCAAACTCGGCCATAGCCTCAGAAAGCTAGCAGATATTCTTGAATGTGACTCAAAAATGGAGCATTGTGTTGATGAACTATTTATTAAAAACCTCCAACGAAGCCGGCTGCTTTTTGAGAAGAGGTGGGACGTCTGTGTTTCTTCTGCTGCCCTACAGACCCTCCGGCAAGCCAAGTGGAACACTCCGGACCTGCTCCCTCTGACTGAGGACGTTAGAGCCATGCATGCACATATTGAGGTATGTCGACCTGAATATGTGCAAACCCTAATAAGTGAGCCAACGTCTAAGCATTGGTCTAAACTGGCAGTTTTGACTCTTTGTGAGGTCATCATTTTCAATCGAAGAAGGGAAGGTGAGGTTTCAAAGATGCCACTGACAGCCTTTACCTTAAGAAGTAAGACTGGGATCCATTCTGACATTGCTCTGGGACTGTCCCAACTTGAGAAAAAGCTGTGTCAGCATTTTCAACGCATTGAAATTAAAGGGAAAAGAAGTCGGAAAGTGCCGGTTCTTTTGACTCCTGAAATGATTGCTTCGATGGAGGTGCTGGTGGAGAACAGAAGGGCCTGTTCCATCTCTGACCATAACCCATACTTCTTTTCCCGCCCGGGCGCAGACACCCACATCAGGGGATCAGACTCCCTACGCCAGGTAGCCAAAGAATGTGGTGCGGTGCATCCAGAGATGCTATCCTCAACCAAACTTAGAAAGCACATAGCTACTATGTCTACAGTTCTCAATATGAAAGAGAATGAGATGGACATACTTGCCAACTTCCTCGGCCATGACATTCGCATCCACAGGCAATATTACAGACTACCAGAGGGGACACTGGAGCTGGCCAAAATCAGCAAAGTGTTGATGGCCATGGAGCAGGGAAGAGTGACGGAATTCGAAGGAAAGAGCCTCGACCAGATACAAATTGAGCCTGAAGGTAATTCTTGATATTATTAAAATATGTATGATTTTTTTCCCCTAAAGGCCACTTGTATTTTTATTTTCTGTGCGACAGGGAGAGCAGTAGAGATCCTCTCACAAACGGACGGGCTAAAAGAAACTTCAAGCGGAGAACCTTCAACCATTCATCCAGATGCACCCCATGGTAGTGGCAGTGCCCCTTCTGGTAAGTGTACCAGGTGGGGGATTACAGCCAGGCTGCTTGGTCCTCACCCTGGGAGTGTATATTGCTAATATATTTTTATTTCTCTCCCTAGAACGTGTAAGAAAGCCATGGTCTGCATCTGAGGTGAAGGCTGTGGAGAAGACCATGACACCTTTCATACAGACTGGAAAGGTCCCTGGGAAGTCTCACTGCCTGGCCTGCATTAATGCCTCACCAGATGACCTTAGACATCGGACATGGAGTGGCATTAAATTCTATGTCAAAAATAGAATCACTGCAATTCGAAAACAAAATCTAAAATAAAATTCCTTTAAAATAGTTGTTTGGTTTCTATTGACTGTTTTGTATTACTTAAAGTCTTGGTAAAAAAAGATTATGTCTATGGGTCCCATTCTGAACGGCCCTGTCAAAGGGACCCACCAGGTAACAAAAACGTGTATGTGTGTGTGTGTGTGTGTGTATGTGTGTATCTCTGTGTGTGTGTGTGTGTGTATGTGTGTGTATGTGTGTATCTCTGTGTGTGTGTGTGTGTATGTGTGTGTTCCCACAGAGAGTATGATGGGAGGATGATCGCGATCGAAGGCACAGCTGCAGTGAGAGATCCGTCTGAAGCCTCCAAACTGACCGTCAGCTTCTCTCCCTGTGAGTATCTGTGTGTGTGTCTGTGTGTGTCTGTGTGTGTGTCTGTGTGTGTCTGTGTGTGTGTCTGTGTGTGTCTGTGTGTGTCTGTGTGTGTGTGTCTGTGTGAGTATCTGTGTGTGTGTCTGTGTGTGTGTCTGTGTGTGTCTGTGTGTGTGTCTGTGTGTGTCTGTGTGTGTGTGTCTGTGTGTGTGTGTCTGTGTGTGTCTGTGTGAGTATCTGTGTGTGTGTCTGTGTGTGTCTGTGTGTGTGTCTGTGTGTGTCTGTGTGTGTGTGTCTGTGTGTGTCTGTGTGAGTATCTGTGTGTGTGTCTGTGTGTGTCTGTGTGTGTGTCTGTGTGTGTCTGTGTGTGTGTGTCTGTGTGTGTCTGTGTGAGTATCTGTGTGTGTGTCTGTGTGTGTCTGTGTGTGTGTCTGTGTGTGTCTGTGTGTGTGTGTGTCTGTGTGTGTCTGTCTGAGTATCTGTGTGTGTGTCTGTGTGTGTCTGTGTGTGTGTCTGTGTGTGTCTGTGTGTGTGTGTCTGTGTGTGTGTCTCTGTGTGAGTATCTGTGTGTGTGTCTGTGTGTGTCTGTGTGTGTATCTGTGTGTGTGTCTCTGTGTGAGTATCTGTGTGTGTGTCTGTGTGTGTGTCTGTCTGTGTGTGTGTCTGTGTGTGTCTGTGTGCGTGTCTGTGTGTGTATCTGTGTGTGTGTCTGTGTGTGTCTGTGTGAGTATCTGTGTGTGTCTGTGTGTGTGTCTGTGTGTGTCTGTGTGAGTATCTGTGTGTGTGTCTGTGTGTGTCTGTGTGTGTCTGTGTGTGTGTCTGTGTGAGTATCTGTGTGTGTGTCTGTGTGTGTCTGTGTGTGTGTCTGTGTGTGTGTCTGTGTGTGTGTGTCTGTGTGTGTGTCTGTGTGTGTCTGTGTGAGTATCTGTGTGTGTGTCTGTGTGTGTGTCTGTGTGTGTCTGTGTGTGTCTGTGTGAGTATCTGTGTGTGTGTCTGTGTGTGTGTCTGTGTGTGTATCTGTGTGTGTGTCTGTGTGTGTCTGTGTGTGTGTCTGTGTGAGTATCTGTGTGTGTGTCTGTGTGTGTCTGTGTGAGTATCTGTGTGTGTGTCTGTGTGTGTGTCTGTGTGAGTATCTGTGTGTGTGTCTGTGTGAGTATCTGTGTGTGTGTCTGTGTGTGTGTCTGTGTGAGTATCTGTGTGTGTGTCCTTGTGTGAGTATCTGTGTGTGTGTCTATGTGTGGGTGTCTGTGTGTGTATCTGTGTGTGTGTCTGTGTGTGTGTCTGTGTGTGTGTGTGTGTCTGTGTGTGTGTGTGTCTGTGTGTGTGTCTGTGTGTGTATCTGTGTGTGTGTCTCTATGAGTCTGTGTGTATCTCTGTGTGTGCGTGTATATATATCTGTGTGTATATATCTGTGTGTATCTGTGTGTATCTCTGTGTGTGCGTGTATATATATCTGTGTGTATATATCTGTGTGTATCTGTGTGTATCTCTGTGTGTGTGTGTGTATATATATATCTGTGTATATATATATGTGTGTATCTGTGTGTATCTGTGTGTATATGTGTGTTGCTACCCCCAGGCTCTTACTGGGTCCTGTCCACAGACTATGACAGTGTGTGTGTGTGTCTCTATGAGTCTGTGTGTATCTCTGTGTGTGTGTATATATATCTGTGTGTATCTGTGTGTATCTGTGTGTTGCTAACCCTCCCTCTCTCCTCAGTCACGCCCCCGGGCTCCTACTGGGTGCTGTCCACAGACTATGACCGTGTGTCCGTGGTCTACTCTTGCACCGACATCCTTCGTCTCGCTCACTTTGAGTTCGCTTGGATCCTGTCCCGGACCGAGACCATCAGCAACGAGACCCGGTCCAGGGCTGAGCAGGTCCTGGTCCAGGCCCAGGTCCGGCTCCAGGACATGGTGGACACAGACCAGAGCGAGTGCAACACACTCATGCTCTGAGGCGCTCACATCCCCCCGCCCTGTCTGCACAAAAGCTCTGTTCTCAAACTAACACGTCAGAGACTCTAACCCTGTGTCTGCCTTTGATCAGGTTTTCAGCTTTAGTGATTGATCAGATTATTTTAGATTATTAACAAAGACTAAGATTAAGACCCTTTTTAATCCCAGAGTAGAGAAATTACTTCAATAAAATCTCTCTAACTCATACTTTTAGACTCATAGCTTCATAATAAAAAGAGTCTAAAACCTCTAACTTTTCGGCTGTGTTTCCATGGTAACCTGCTTTGCTCACGTCTGCCTTTGATCACATCTTTCATGTTTAATTATGAAAGTTATTTTAAGGAAGTTTATTTATATAGCGCCTTTCACAGAGTCACAAAGACTTCTTATGAATGTTTGTGTTTTAGCCTCCTCACTCTCTGTGTCTAAATATGAACTATAATATAAATATGTCTAAAGTTAAAGGTCCTCTGTGTAAAGTGTACAGTTGCTCCAAATGAAATAAAACTTTAAATAAATTATACGACCTGAATGACTCTGTTTTCTTTCATCCAAAAATCTGGTGCACGTGTGAATGCTGTGCACGTGAATGCTGGTGCACGTGTGAATGCTGGTGCACGTGAATGCTGTTGCACGTGAATGCTGGTGCACGTGTGAATGCTGTTGCACGTGAATGCTGTTGCACGTGAATGCTGGTGCACGTGTGAATGCTGTTGCACGTGAATGCTGGTACACGTGTGAATGCTGTTGCACGTGAATGCTGGTGCATGTGTGAATGCTAGTGCATGTGTGAATGCTAGTGCACGTATGTATGCTAGTGCACGTATGAATGCTAGTGCATGTGTGAATGCTAGTGCACGTATGTATGCTAGTGCATGTGTGAACGCTAGTGCACGTATGAATGCTAGTGCACGTATGAATGCTAGTGCATGTGTGAATGCTAGTGCACGTATGTATGCTAGTGCATGTGTGAACGCTAGTGCACGTATGAATGCTAGTGCACGTATGAATGCTAGTGCATGTGTGAATGCTAGTGCACGTATGAATGCTAGTGCATGTGTGAACGCTAGTGCACCGTGTAAATGCTGGTGCATGTGAATGCTGGTGCACGTGGGAGGGCAGAGTCAGTGAGTCCAGACTCAGACACACACTGAGTCTCGCCTCCTCCAGACCAGACCAGACCAGACCAGACCGGACCAGACCAGACTTTAAAGACTTTAAAGAGTTTAAAGGTGAGACTTCACAGATACAGGTTTTTACACCAAACGTTTCTGTGAGTTATGACAGTGTTTTTCCTCAGGTCAAGATGAAGGAGTTGGTTTGTCTGAGCGTCCTGCTGTGTGTCTTCTGCTCCTTCAGCGGTGAGTTCAAATCTTTCTTACATTTGTCGATTATTTTTAAAAACAGTTTCAGACGAAGTGAGTGCAACAAAAACTTCAGATAAACGTTCTTTCATGCAGACGTTTGACTCAGTTTCATCAGAACTACCATAAAATACCTGATGTTTGTGTTGCTTTAGTGTTTCTCTCACTGCTCCAACAGTTCCCCTCGAGGACAACAATGTTTTTGAGTTTTTAGAATCTGGACGTTTAAAGTTTTATTATCATTAAATCTGAACATTCTAAAGTCTCTCTGTGATGTTTAAGTCTGTGTAAACCTGTGTCTTCTGCACAAAGGCCTCTCTGTGCCCGAGTCTGCGACGCTGATGGGATAATATTTGACTTGGGGGCAGGAATCTGGCGCCCCTCTGGGAGAAGGCTGCGGTTGCCAGAATCAATCCCACCTTTGTGGAAAACTGGGAATGTTTGGGAATAATTATATTTTTGTTTTTCTCTTTTTAACAGAGGCCAGAATCATCGTCCCAGAAGGAGGTAGGTTTTTATGTGTGTGCGTGCCTCTGTGCGTGCGTGTGTGTGTCTCTGTGTGTGTGTGTGTGTGTGTGTGTTGTATGTGTTAGTGTGTGTGTCTCTCTCTGTGTGTGTGTGTGTGTGTGTGTGTGTACACCACAGTTCGTCCACTCTTTTCACTGTCTGAAAAAGGATATAATAGTTTCTTGTTAGTGGTTTGAAAGTTACGTTCATCAGCTTTAATATCAATAACATGAATGACAGTGACAGTCTTCCTGAAAATGTGAGACAGACTTCTTCTGTAATAATGTTCAAATCAAGGATTGTATCGTTACTCTTTTAATGTAGTGTGATAATTTAGGATTTTAAGGTGTTACTGTTTCTATATTGTTTTGTTCAGCTCTTTCCGTGTGTGTGAACCGTGCTACACAAATAATCTGGTCATGTGTTGACTTGTGTGTGTTCCTCAGTGCCCTATGACGAGGCCCCGGCCGTGCCCTACTGGCCCTACTCCACCTCGGACTTCTGGAACTACGTGGAATACTTCAAGTCCATCGGAGCCTACGACCGGATCAACGAGATGGCGAGGGCCTTCTTCGCTCACCAGCACCTGGGGGACACGCTGGGCTACGAGACCAACGAGGGCCACGAGCACTGA